AAACAAACACAACATAATGATAAATGTTTCTCGTTGATGATGATATAATGACATGCAGTACATGTATGTGTATTCTATAATGATACAGTGCCTTCAGAAAGTATTTGCACCCTTTGACTTTTTCCAAATGTTGTTGTATTACAGCCTGAATTTAAAATTGATTACATTTAGATTTTGTGTCACTGATCTACAATACCACATAATGTAGCCTAGTGGTTAAGAGCGTTGGGCCAGTAACTGAAAGGTTGCTGGTTCGAATCCCCGAGCTGACTAGGTGAAACATCTGTCGCTGTGCCGTTGAGCAAGGCACTTAACCCTAATTGCTCCTGTAAGTCACTCTGGATAAGAATGACTGAAATGTAAATGTCAAAGTGGAATTTTGTTTGTAGACATTTTTTTAAATGAACAAAAAATTAAAAGCTGAAATGTCTTGAGTCAATAAGTATTCAACCCCTTTATGACAAGCCTAAATTAGTTCAGGAGTAAGAATGGGTTTAACAAATTGCATAATAAGTTGCATGGACTCATTCCGTGTTCAATAATAGTGGTTAACATAATTTATGAATGACTACCCCATCTCTGTACCCCACACAGAAAGCACAGATTCAACCACAAAGACCAGGGAGGTTTTTCAATGCCTCGCAAAGAAGGGCACTGATTGGTAGATGTGTAAAAAAATATATATATACACTTTGGATGGTGTATCAATACACCCAGTCACTACAAAGGTACAGGCGTCCTTCCTAACTCAGTTGCTGGAGAGGAAGGAAACGGCTTAGGGATTTCACCATGAGGCCAATGGTGATTTTAAAACAGTTACAGAGATTAATGGTTGTGATATGAGAACTGAGAATGGGTCAACAACATTGTAGTTACAGTGCCTTGCAAAAGTATTCATCCCCCTTGGTGTTTTTCCTATTTTGTTGCATTACAACCTGTAATTTAAAATAGTCAACACAAAATAGTCCAAAATTGCAGAAATGAAATGAAAAAAAATTACTTGTTTCAGAAAATTCTAAAAAATAAATAATGGAAAAGTGGTGTGTGCATTTGTATTCACCCCCTTTGCTATGAAGCCCCGAAATAAGATCTGGTGCAACCAATTACCTTCAGAAGTCAAATAATTAGTTAGATTGCACACAGGTGGACTTTATTTAAGTGTCACATGATCTGTCACATGATATCAGTATATATACACCTGTTCTGAAAGGCCCCAGAGTCTGCAACACCACTAAGCAAGGGGCACCATCAAGCAAGCGGCACCATGAAGACCAAGGAGCTCTCCAAACAGGTCAGGGACAAAGTTGTGGAGAAGTACAGAACAGGGTTGGGTTATAAAAAAATATCAGAAACTTTGAACATCCCACGGAGCACCATTAAATCCATTATTAAATAATGGAAAGAATATGGCACTACAACAAAACCTGCTAAGAGAGGGCCGCCCACCAAAACTCACGGACCAGGCAAGGAGGGCATTAATCAGCAACAAAGAGACCAAAGATAACCCTGAAGGAGCTGCAAAGCTCCAGAGCGGAGATTGTGTATCTGTCCATAGGACCACTTTAAGCTGTACACTCCACAGAGCTGGGCTTTACAGAAGAGTGGCCAGAAAAAAGCCAATGCTTAAAGAAAAAAATAAGCGAAAGCCAAAAGCCATGTGGGAGACTCCCCAAACATATGGAAGAAGGTACTCTGGTCAGATGAGACTAAAATTGAGCTTTTTAGCCATGAAGGAAAACGCTATTTCTGGCGCAAACACAACACCTCTCATCACCCCGAGAAAACCATCCCCACAGTGAAGCATGGAGGTGGCAGCATCATGCTGTGGGGATGTTTTTCATCGGCAGGGACTGGGAAAGTGGTCAGAATTGAAGGAATGATGGATGGCGCTAAATACAGGGAAATTCTCTTCCAGAGATTTGAGACTGAGACGTAGGTTCACCTTCCAGCAGGACAATGAACCTAAGCATACTGCTAAAGCAACACTTGAGTGGTTTAAGGGGAAACATTTAAATGTCTTGGAATGGCCTAGTCAAAGCCCAGACCTCAATCCAATTGTAAATCTGTGGTATGACTTAAAGATTGCTGTACACCAGCGGAACCCATCCAACTTGAAGGAGCTGGAGCAGTTTTGCCTTGAAGAATGGGAAAAAATCCCAGTGGCTAGATGTGCCAAGCTTATAGAGACATACCCCAAGATACTTGCAGCTGAAATTGCTGCAAAAGGTGGCTCTACACAGTATTGACTTTGAAGTTTTCTGTTTTCTTGTCTTATTTATTGTTTGTTTCACAATAAATAATATTTTGCATCTTCAAAGTGGTAGGCATGTTGTGTAAATCAAATGATACAAACCCCAAAAAAATCAATTTTAATTCCAGGTTGTAAGGCAACAAAATAGGAAAAATGCCAAGGGGGGTGAATACTTTCGCAAGCCACTGTAGATGTTTGAGAAACAAAATATAGTTTATCCATTTTGAATTCAGGCTGTAACACAACAAAATGTGGAATAAGTCAAGGGGTATGAATACTTTCTGAAGGCACTGTATATCTTATGTGAGCTGATAATGATAATGACATAGTGTGTGCTGTCTATGCTGTTCTCTCTACTCTATAGGCCTTCAGGTCAGGAGGAGCCATCTGTTCTTCCTCTCCTCTGCGCTGGATTCAGCAGAGTATGTACTCTTCTTCAATGTACTCGATGTACTATAGGGGGAAGAGGGGATATGACTTTATATGGCACCACCAACTCCTCTGTGACTCTGTAAAGTGTACTGAGCCAGACAACTCAAAACACTCAGCATGCTATCCTATCATCCATCTGCTGAATCAGTCAGTCAGTCAGCTGGCTCATCTTATAAACAGATCACAGTGTTTACCTACTGTACTGTACTGTTCTGTACTCTATTTAACATGTCAGCAGGTCACAGCTCTCATCACGTGTCCTACCTCTGTAGGGTGAAAGGTCCGCAGCTCAGAGCTGACTGTTTGTAATGTTTCACTCGTCTCTCTTTTGCGGTGTCCTCGACGCATGTGATCGCGCGCGAAGGCGAGCGCTCAGAGCTCGCGACAACTGCTACGCTTACACACGGAGTGACTCTCCGAGAGAGACCAAAGAGGAGCACTTCTCTCACCACTCTCTCTCTCCTCTCTCTCTCTCCTCCTCTCATCTCTTCTCTCTCGCTTCCTCTCTCCTCTCGTCTGTGTCAGATGGTATGTGGAGAACAGTAGTGTCTCTGCCTGCTATAATGAGTTGCTCCAGATTGAACATGGAGAGGTGCGCTGCCAGTTCAAACTCAGGTACAGTGGGCCGCACACACAAAGACACACACACACACACACACAGACATACACACACACACTGTGCATAACTTAACAGATCCCTCTCTCTTCTCTCCCTCAGGGCGTGTAACTCAGTCTTCACTGCTCTGGACCACTGTCAGGAGGCTGTGGAGATCACCAGTGAAAACCATGTGATACAGGTATACACACACACCACTGGCGTAGCGTAAACCCCCGCAGCCCCCGCAACGCGTGGTCCCACAAGCTCAGGGGGCCCATGCGCCCGTCATTTATAAAGAAATATATATATAAATCATTTTGACAGTAATCCTCCTTTTTAATTTGCACATGTAGCAAGCAAAGTTTTTCTGTTGTCTGCTACATTGGTAGTAGGTGAGTCAGACAGACAATAGTTTTCATGCACCTAATTAGCCTATTTCTCAGCGGTGCTGGCTATCAAGTTTTAAAAAGTTAGGTGAATCAGGTCAGACTCGGATGGAGAGTGAGTACGTTGTTCAAGATGGATAAAGAAAAGGCAAGACCAAGTGGTGCACAAAAACAACGCAAAAAAGCTTTATCTGATCAAGCTCGTGCCAAATTACCGAAGATAACCACATCAGCAAAGCTACCACCTCGTCCTCAACTGACGAAACACCATCGCAGGCGAAAGCTAGTAGGCCTACTTATGTAGCAGCTAACACTAGCAGCCTCCCAGTCCCGACCACTGCCTGGGCCTGGCGATGACAGTGGCTTTGCTCCTCCTCTTTTTCCTCCCCTGGAGAATAGTGACAGTTCCTCTAGTGAGAGAGCTGGCCCTCCTTCTCCTCCTCCTCCTCTCCCAGAAAACTAAGCTGATGACTGCCAGAGATCCAGCGACGCTCATGAGAGCAACCCCCCTTCTGTGAACACTGGTAAGCCTACGAGTGATGAGACAGATAGCCCCGACAGCGTGGAGTCCGAGTTCCAATGTGTAATATAAATAGGCTACCAGCTAAATACTAGAATATAGATAGGCTGGTAGACTGCATTGTCTGCATAAGGAAACAATCGCTAGTAAGCGATTGTTTTGACGGTGGACTGATTGTATTATTTGGCATTAATAGATTGGTTTTACGCTGCACAAACTTCCTATTCAAGCTGCTAGAGAGCGCGAGGACAACAAAGGTAGGCTATAGGCCTACAGGACAGTTGTATATAAAAAATAATACATAAATTGGTTACTGATTAGTATGCTGTTGCATCGAACATTCCTTTTACAATCTGCAATGTTTGAATTCCCTACTTGAATTACTGAACAAGTACATACATTATTGCCACCAGCCAGCATTCTAAATAGCAGCATTGCGACCCTGTATGCCTATAGCTTCATGTAACATAAATGTTAGGCTTAACATGAGTAAATGACAACCAAATAAAAATGAACATGTATCAAATAAAGCAAAGCTATAGACTACTACAATCACTAACACCACATAATCTGATAGCCTATCGCTAGGCAGCCGCGTAGACGTCGCAATTTCAGAACCATGGACAGCGATCGGTAGTCTATACTTTGTGAGTGGCTGAAGCATTCCCCCCCCCAAAGAATTTGGGAGGGGAGGGCCCAAACTCCGACTTTGCGGGGTTTCGAGAAACTGCGCTGCGCCAGTGACACGCGCACACACACACAAAACACAGTGGGTCTTGACCTTACTGGGTCATTAAGGTATTCAGTGAAATTATGATTGTTATGTTATCCATCTCTCTCCCTCTCCCCCAGTATGTGAACCCAGCATTTGAGTGTATGATGGGCTACCACAAGGGAGAGTTGATAGGAAAAGAGCTGACAGATCTCCCCAAGAGTGATAAGAACCGAGCAGATCTTCTAGACACCATCAACACCTGTATCAAGAAAGGAAAGGTGAGAGAGCATTAGACACTAAAGGACCTCAGGACCTCATTGAAGAACATTCATCTATATTCATCTAGATTTTTTTTCCAGTGTTTTCAATTCAGTTGTCTGATTGTAATTCTCTAGGAGTGTTATGGTGTTTGACTATAGTTTTCTCTATGTCTAGGAGTGGCAGGGGATTTACTACGCCAGGAGGAAGTCAGGTGACAGCATACAACAGCATGTCAAGATCACGCCTGTGATTGGCCAGGGAGGGTAAGTCACTGCCTTCATCACTTCCACTTAAATAACACGTATATCTACTCTGGCAAGCCGTGGTCTTCCTCAGTAGCAGTGCGTGGGTAAAATCACTGGGGAAGCCAAGCCAATAAAAAAGCCATACAGTTGAAGTCGGAAGTTTACATACACTTAGGCTGGAGTCATTAAAACTTGTTTTTCAACCACTCCACAAATTTCTTGTAAACGAACTATAGTTTTGGCAAGTCGGTTAGGACATCTACTTTGTGCATGACACAAGTAATTTTTCCAACAATTGTTTACAGACAGATTATTTCACTTATAATTCACTGTATCACAAATCCAGTGGGTCAGAAGTTACATACGCTAAGTTGACTGTGCATTTAAACAGCTTGGAAAATTCCAGAAAATGATGTCATGGCTTTAGAAGCTTCTGTTAGGCTAATTGACATCATTTGAGTCAATTGGAGGTGTACCTGTGGATGTATTTCAAGGCCTATCTTCAAACGCAGTGCCTCTGCTTGACATCATGGGAAAATCAAAAGAAATTAGCCAAGACCTCAGAAAATAAACTGTAGACCTCCACAAGTCTTGTTCATCCTTGGGAGCAATTTCCAAACGCCTGAAGGTACCACGTTCATCTGTACAAACAATAGTACGCAAGTATAAACACCATGGGACCACGCAGCCATCATACCGCTCAGAAAGGAGACGCGTTCTGTCTCCTAGAGATTAACGTACTTTGGTGCGAAAAGTGCAAATCAATCCCAGAACAACAGCAAAGGACCTTGTGAAGAAGCTGGAGGAAACAGATACAAAAGTATCTATATCCACAGTAAAACAAGTCCTATATCGACATAACCTGAAAGGCCGCTCAGCAAGGAAGAAGCCACTGCTCCAAAACCGCCATAAAAAAGCCTTGACTACGGTTTGCAACTGCACATGGGGACAAAGCTCGTACTTTTTGGAGAAATGTCCTCTGGTCTAATGAGACAAAAATAGAACTGTTTGGCCATAATGACCATCGTTATGTTTGGAGGAAAAAGGGGGATGCTTGCAAGCCGAAGAACACCATCCCAACCGTGAAGCATGGGGGTGGCAGCATCATGCTGTGGGGGTGCTTTGCTGCAGGAGGGACTGGTGCTCTTCACAAAATAGATGGCATCATGAGGAAGTAAAATTATGTTGATATATTGAAGATATATAGATCTCAAGACATCAGTCAGGAAGTTAAAGCTTGGTCGCAAATGGGTCTTCCAAATGGACAATGACCCCAAGCATTCTTCCAAAGTTGTGGCAAAATAGCTTAAGGACAATAAAGTCAAGGTATTGGAGTGGCCATCACAAAGCCCTGACCTCAATTTGTGGGCAGAACTGAAAAAGCTTGTGTGAGCAAGGATGCCTACAAACCTGACTCAGTTACACCAGCTCTGTCAGGAGGAATGGGCCAAAATGCACCCAACTTATTGTGGGAAGCTTGTGGAAGGCTACCCGAAACGTTTGACCCAAGTTAAACAATTTAAAGGCAATGCTACCAAATACTAATTGAGTGTACGTAAACTTCTGACCCACTGGGAATGTGATGAAAGAAATAAAAGCTGAAATAAATAATTCTCTCTACTATTATTCTGACATTTCACATTCTTAAAATAAAGTGGTGATCCTAACTGACCTAAGACAGGGAATTTATACTAGGATTAAATGTCAGGAATTGTGAATAACTGAGTTTAAATGTATTTGGCTAAGGTGTATGTAAACTTCCGACTTCAACTGTATTACAACCTATGTTGTTATATTTGCGTTATTTAATCTATAACCTATTTGTTCAGACTCCACCGTTATATACAATAATGCCATGACAACAAAAAGACAACAGTCACACAGTGGCGGAATAAATTCAACTACACATACGTTTGTTTCATCACAAAACCGGAGAGCAACATCTGTCCGGTGAAGTCCACAAAGCAAATATTGCATGTAACAAACAGTTATATGACCTGCAGCATGTTCAAGCAAGTTAATGTTTCCGACATTAGTTTACTAAGCAACTACTGATTTAGAACCACTGAGTTACCACAAGTCAGCACCAAAACAACAGGAGCACTGCCTCCACTATTCCAGCACCATTTCAACTTAAACATTTTAACATCATCAAATCAACAGGCTAAACGGTGCATTTGGAAAGTATTCAGACCCCTTGACTTTTTCCACATTTTGTTACGTTACAGCCTTATTCTAAAATGGATTTTCCTCATCAATACCCCATAATGACAAAGCAAAAACAGGTTTTTTGAATATGTATAAAAAATGTATTAAAAAAAGATATATATATATATATATATATATATATATATATATATATATATATATATATATATATATATATATATATGAAATATCACATTTACATAAGTATTCAGATCCTTTACTCAGTACTTTGTTGAAGCACCTTTGGCAGCAATTACAGCCTCGAGTCTTCTTGGGTATGATGCTACAAGCTTGGCACACCTGTATTTGGGGAGTTTCTCACATTCTTCTCTGCAGATCCTCTCACGTTACAGGAGTGGATCGCAGTTCCGAAGCGACCCACTAGGTGTCATCCTCCGACAACCATAGGCACCACCTCGCTCACAGTCGGGACTAATTATCTGCCTATTGGTGTCACCTGTGTCTATCTGATTCACCTGTGTATTTATGCCCTCACTTCCCTGTGTTCCCTTGCTCAGTTTTCTCTGCTAGTTCCTTAATGTCAAGCAGTACGTATCAGTGTTTGATCACGTGACGGAGTTACAGGAACTCGAGAAGTGTTCTCCCAGTGTCATTGTGTTTTTCCAGTCAGAGTTAGTATTTCGTATTGTTTGCTGTCAGCCTGTTTTTTGGAGACCTATGTGCTCCTCATTTGGTTTCGTGAATAGTCCGTTGTTTTGTATCCTGGCATTTGGACCACCAGTAAAGATCATTGTTTCACCATCCTTGCCTACTGTCTATCCTGCACCGCACCTGGGTCACACCTCACGCCAACCCTTACAGAAAACTGAGCCAATATGGACCCAGTGGAGGCAGCACAGTATCATAGCGCATTTGCAGCACAGGGAGCCATGTTAGATCAGCACGACCATAGCCTGCAGCAGATCATCGAGAATCTCCACCAGCTGGCGATTGCCGTGCAGAGCCGGGTGGACACCCAACCAGCCCCGGCAGCCGGCAGAGCGGAAGCTGCAGCAGCGGTGTCTCCAGTCTCGCCTGCGACATTTCCGGAGAGGTACGACGGACGTCCAGAGAGCTGCAGGTAATTCCTCAACCAGTGTTCCCTGATGTTCAGCCTACAACCCTCCTCCTTCCCGACGGAGCAGGGCCGGGAGTGCCTACATTATCACCCTGTTTACGGGTCGGGCCTTTTCCTGGGCTACCGCTGAGTGGGAGAGCCAAACTACGGCGTGCTCCGACTCCTACCCATTCACCCGGGAGTTACGCAAGGTGTTCGACACCTCTCGGGTGGTGTCGGGGCACGAGGCCGGGAGGCGGCTAATGGCTTGTCGGCAGGGTGACCATTCGGTGGCGGACTACTGTGTGGGTTCCGGACCCGGGCTCGAGAGGCAGGATGGGAGGAGGACCGCCCTGGTCGTCCTTTACGCGCACGGGCTATCGGAGGGGATGAAGGACAAACTCTCCTTCGGGGAGCTGCCTGAGCAACTGGACGGCCTCGTCGACCTCTCGGTGCAGGTGGACAATTGCCGTTGTGAGAGGGCATACGAGAGAGGCATGACGCAAGACTCGCCTCCGCGTCTCCCTATCGGCCCGGAGGCTTTCCACCGATTCAGGGAGGAGACGCCTCAGGAGGAGGCTATGCAGCTGGGTGCGGCGCGCTTGTCCCGGATGGAGAGGCAGAGGCGTCTGCCCCAGGGACGTTGACGGTACTGCAGCCACACAGGTCACCACATATTATTATTATTTATATTACCACTGTGAGGGCTCGCTGGTATCGGGAGGGGTGTCAGCGAGCCGGAACCGAAACCCCAACTCCAGAGACGCCCTGACTTTTCTCCCCATCAGGGTTCAGTGGGACCCACTCCTGTAACAGCGCCCCCCCCGACGAACGGCCCCAGCCGTTCACCTCGGCGCCTCCGAGTGGAGGCGACGGAATGCTGTATCAGCCCTGGGTCCAGAATGTCCCTCCTGGGCACCCCGGATCGCTCCACCAGCCCATAACCCACCCAGTCTTGTGAAGACTTAGTGTCATTGCCAACAAAGGGTATATAACAAAGTATTGAGAAACTTTTGTTATTGACCAAATACTTATTTTCCACCATAATTTGCAAATAAATTCATTAAAAATTCTACAATGTGATTTTCTGGAGAAAAAAAATTCATTTTGTCTGTCATAGTTGACGTGTACCTATGATGAAAATTACAGGCCTCTCTCATCTTTTTAAGTGGGAGAACTTGCACAATTGGTGGCTGACTAAATACTTTTTTCCCCACTGTACATGGGCTACACATACTGAGACAGAGGGGCACTGTTTCCCTCGCTCAGATGATTTTTCCGGTGAGATTCAGCCACTTGCGAATTGACGGAAAATTATGAAAACACAGAGAGACAAAATATAAATGATTGTATTATTTATAAAGAATATTGGTCAAATATTTGGGGAAGACTGGCTTCCCTTGGCATCCATGAATACACGCCACTGGTCTTCCTTCTTGGACAACCGCTTACAGTTAATTGGTTGTTAACTGGTTTTTAACTGGTTGTGTAAATGGTTAACTGGTGGTTGACAGGTTGTTAACTGGTAACTGGAGGTTCACTGGTTACATATGGTTCTCAATCTAATATGCTTTACTTTCTATCTCTTTACAGAAAGATCCGCCATTTTGTGTCCGTCAGGAGGCCCCACAGTGACAACAACAAACAGGTGAGCCATCCAGCCACTAGTTAGGCAAACAGGCATGGAAGTTATTGTTATGTTTCATGTAACCAGAGCAGTCATGGTGGTCTTAATGATTGATAGTTAGCTACATGAT